GTTACATTCGTGAGAAACTAAAATAGTTGAATCGGTACCTCGTTTCCGTTCGTATATTGCCCGATGCGGTTTTCGTTCCCAAATTCGTCATCGTCTTGGAGCTGGCGAACGGACGGCCCGTAAGATTCCCTGGTGATCTCCTCGTGATACGAGACGACCGGTTTCCCGCCGTTCAGATTACTATTCACATCGGCTCGGGCCACTCGCCTCACCGTCACGGACTGTCGGTTCACCGTCAAATTTCCGTTCCTCTGCCCACCGCCGACGTGCGTCTGCTTCCGCGGTTTGTTCTCCAACGGCTCCAGCGGGTAGCTCCTATCGATGCCCTTTACCGTTTGTCGTCTTTCGTCGAACATCTGCCTCACCTTTTTTCAAACAAGAACAGGCCTAATTGTAAACGCCTACATCCTGGATAATCGTTGGACCGTGTAATTGATCGTCGATGAGTCTCAGAAATATTTTTATCTCTTTTCTATAAGAGGTGATGTAGATTCAGGGATTTATCACATAACTGTGAATTATAATTGAATGAACGAAGTTCAATTGCAAATAAATTAATATATGACATGATTTAATAATGCAATATTTTATTTATATTATTAGCTACAGAAAATATATTAATTTTTGAAAAGGATTCTTTATTTGCTTGCAGGCTGTATTTTTTCACGTTGTTTACGAATTCGCTGTACCCGTTGACATAATTTCACTTCCCGACAAACTGGTTCTACGTCAAGCAACACGCAGATTCTCAAGATTGTGGTCAAGGTTCACCAAACCCTGACTTCTTTCTTTTATTTCGCCTCGAACATCGCGTTCCAAAAGTGAACTTGCTTTCCACTTAAAAACTGGATTCCTTAACATTTTCCAGTATTATTGTAATAATATTATTATTCGTTTAATAATTTTAATCAAATTCATTAATTTGTCTAACGTGATTCATGAATACATTTGCTGTCATATTAATAAATCACGATAGATATTGAACCTTTCATTCATATTACGGTTTAATTAATACCAACGCGTCCGTAGCACACATTATTTAATGGATTGTTACACACTTAAATGTAATAAATATATTGGAATATTATTAATTGAAATTGGGAAAGCAATAATGAAACGAAAAAGAAAGAAATAATCTAAAATTGTTTCTACGTGATTCGTAACGTATTACGATTTTTTGAAAATAGTCGAAACGAAAGTATAGATAAAAATAATCACGAATTTATAAATTTTGTTCTTTCAAACTGCTTATCAGAAGACATTCAGTTTTTTTTATTGTTCACGACCACAGTTTAGTCTTGTGCTTAAAAGCTGATAGCAAGTCAAACTGAAACCAATCGTTGACAGAACTCAACACCGAATATTCGAAGATTCTCTCTTGCATTAATTTCTATTAAATCAATCTCTTACGGTAAGTAATTGACGACGTTCTTACTTTAATCAAGTAATTAAAATTGAATACCAGGAGAATATAATTTCTAGCATTTACTGCTGAGGAGAAACAAAATGACGGATCTATTCGTGGGAGCACGATTTTTGGTCAAGATTCTTATTGCTGTAATTATGTATCAAACACTAATGATCTCAATGGTGTCCAGCGCTCCCGCAGGTCGGTTAGAACCGAGATGCATCATCATGTGCAATATTCCAACAATACCGCCCACGTGTCCACCACCCCGGCAGCCAGATTCGCACGGCATATGCAGAGTTATGTACCCAGTACCTTAGTTAAACTATTTTTAATTCTACCACATGAATATGCAGAAAACAAAACGTAAATAAATAAATCTACTTTCTATTCAAATGGTGAAGGTTGTAAAAATAGTAATGGATGTATAATAAAATATTGCAAGAATAAAACCATTTTAGAAGTGCGCATGTAATAAAATATTAACGTATGATCGCGAATGGCATGAGGAAAAAGTGTAAGAGGAGGTCGCGGGAAAAAGGAGTTCCCAGCCACGAAACAGTCGCCATTAGTTCATTCAAGAAAGCGTGGCGTGGAACTATGTTAGAGAAACGTTCGTGGATTTCCATGCGAGGGATCGCTCACCTTTCCACCATGCGAGGTCGGGGTTGTATGGCTGCTGGTCGAGGTCCTTGTGACGGTGTGCTGACTGCTGATGGCGGTGTGACTCGACCCGTTTGAACCGGCGCTGGCTCGTTGCACCACCTGATAAGCGCGTTGCTGCTGTTGATCGTACAACTGCAACAGCTTCTGCTCCTTCTCCTGCAGCTGCTTCTGCTGGAAGCGAGCCTGCGACAATCGCATATCGTTTCTTCTGAGTTTCATCATATTCTTCAAGAGGATGAACTCAGCTTTACGTTTTATATGTATTTTTAATATGAGTATTTTTTTATAAGTTCTGGAAGTCGATCAATGAGTATTGATAAATCTAGTTAGATCTCGTTAAATCTCGATTTTTAAAATATTCACAAATTTTTTTACACCGTTCCTTGAAAACGTCCTAAGCTTCTATGAGATTTATCAAGCACGTGTGACGATTATTTTTCAGTTAAATCGATGTTCAATACTCAAACGACGCGAAATTATTTAAACAAATTCGCGACGATCGTTGACGCTGCGGCACCGCGCCGGTAGGCTCGCAACTCCTGGTTAACCGTGGTACTTGCGACGATAGTTGCCCGCGCTATAGTGCCGAGCGATGCATATGCGCCGCTCGTACGCTGTGCAATCTCATCGATTCCTTTTAACCTACATGCGAAGGGGTTAGTAAACTCGTTACGCCGCTAAACCCGATACGGTTCCTTCCCTTAATTCGTCCCGGTCGGTACAATTCCAAGGAATATTCGATCCCATCACTGATTTTTATACGGTACTACATAAATAATGGTTGTAGTCAATTATGGACTTCATTCGTTACGTGGAAATGTTTATTGATCTCTATAAGAGTTCTTCTGGTACGTCTCATAAAATATTTTTTATAAATCGTCGTGCAACAAAAGGTTCTAACTCGACTTATTAAAAGTCCACGCGATTATCGAAGACGTTAACGACGGGTCTCGTCGATCGACGAAAGATCAGGGACTGTTTGATAATCAAGACGGGCCTGTTAATTGGATAGCTGTCGAATCGTTGAGCCGGCAATCAGGCGGCCTGCTAATTGACTTATTCCTAATGAGCCCGTGCCGTGGCTCGGGCTCGCTTTGTACACGTGCAAATTCCTGACTCGATCGCCGCGTCCCGATCGGCTCGCGCCGCATCGGTACCTGTAATTCGTAATGATAACGAGACGTTGATTGGACGTCGATTACCCGTCGGCGCTTTCGACGAGCTCGTAAAATACCTGCATATCTCCCCTTTCGGCGTCGGACTATTGTTTCGCCGATTAGTCGGGATTTTTCGATGATCGTGATTGATGGAACGATGATCACGTCGATATTGGGGAATGTTTGCTCTATGGGATGCGTTAATGTCCTGAATTAATGCAATTATAGCGCTGCTGATATCGAATTTGAATTTGTATTATAATTATGATGATTGAGCGAGACAATCGATACATATTGGTCTTCCTTAATGAATCATCATTTATTAAAATATATTTTAATCTGATATGATTACCCAATTCTTTATGAATTCATGTTCAATACTCGTGGAGAGAGAAATGAATTTTTTATGTCTTATACTGCGATAAATGTAATGCCAAAAGTTCGGTAAAAATTGGCGCACGGTTTTTCGATCAGTTTTTCTTAATATTGAAAACTTTACAGTCTTGATTAATTAGTTCTGAAGAACATTTTCTCTGAAGTCTAATAAGAGCATCGATCGAGGACCGACTTTGTATAACTTTTCACGTGCCGATCAGTCAAACTCATCGTGCAGCTTATACATAGCTACAAACTTGTCGGAAGCTACGTGGATTAAATTGACTGACTTTAATTGCTTTGGTGATAGTTTCACTTGTTTATCTATTAATGATAAATGATTATTTCATGTTTTATTCATTGTGCGATTCATTCTCGTTGGATTGCTATGGCATTTTTCATGATACACTTTTGTTGACAGTCTAACTACATGATGTTGACTAATCGATTAAAGTTATGCCTATACGACTATTTTGTCCTCTCTGTGCAAGTCAGAGCCTATAATTATTTATCGAGCATAAAATGGCAGAGATAGTGGTGGAATTAAAGTGTATAAAGACTTTTTTAACACGACCGGTGCTTTCTGACAAATGATTCAAACGTGAAACTTTTATTACCCAATCTGGCTTTTCGAAAAATATTCCACAAATTTCTATGAATAAATGAACACCGTCGATGTTCAGTCAATTGAGCTGTCAATTAATTTGTATCAATACCTTTCAACCACCCACCAGGCTGTTAACACTGACCAGCACATTTCCATTCTCTTTATCACTATTTTAGTCGCCGTTCCATTCACTTTCCTGCCTACGGCGCGCCATAAACAAAAGAGGGTATCGCCGAATGGGAAACAAAGGACACGCAGATGTTAAAAGCGAATGCAGCAATTTTTATTTGCAAAAATAACAGCCCGATGCAGCGGGCTCGCGCGTGGGTGTAACTGAAAACCTGACGCGTCGAGACGAGTACGTTCACCTTGCCTTTAAATAAGACTCCGGATTACCATGTGCCAGTCTATCGTAACGAAAGAGTCGCCGTGCTGGTGCAGCCGAGCGAAGGAGGGTAGGAAGCAAACGAAGCAGAAGAGGGAAGGGACAGGTGGGCCAAGGGAAGAGTTAGCAGATACATTAAAGAAATAAGAAGGAATTTGGGAAAGGAGGTCGACGTCGAACGTTTCGCAAGAAACCGCAATTCGGGTTATTTCAAGATTCAGCGAAAGAAACGAATGTGAAAAAAGGAATGGGGGACGTGGCTGACAAACAATAATAGATGCAGGGTGATAAAAATGCTTACACCGAGAGAAATAAACTAATGTAGGTGATCAATCAACTGTTATCTAATTCTAGAGTACATGTTTCACCGTCGATATTGTAACCAACTACCCTGATCCTCTGTAGACGTACATATAGATTTTAAACGATTTCAGAAAGCGTGTTAAATACTTTGCTATTTCCCACAAAAAATACAACAGAATACACGGAAAGGCTTCTACGAAAATGAGATCGCAATTAAAGTCACGAAATGCTTTGACATCGATCTCTTTATCAAACTGTGATACTGAAAAAAAGCTGCTAGGAAATTAAACAACGCTGTTCGACATCCTCTAAGAACACCATAAAATAAACGAGTGAAAAAAGGTAATACCATGTCATTTAGATTGGTATAGACAGTTGTCAGCTCTTGAGCTGCCCAGGACGTTTCCATGTCCATGGAGACTCCACGGGCTTCCAGCTGTTTGGACCGAGTCGACGTATTTTTCAATTGCTTCTTTTTCTGCTCCTTGCGTTTCATCGTTTCGCATGTCTATCTCGGGAAATAATGCTACTTATGTAAATCTTATCCTCTTACATCATTGATCTTAATCGGAAATTCAGTAAATTGCATCCTTACTCTCTTTCGTTTCATTAGGTACGTTCCGTTCGGTATTCATAGTCCGTGAGGTCGCAAGTACCACCTTTCTAATTTGTGGCCCATTACTCGTTACGGTAATAATGCGAGGCTCAACACGTGCACGATTTAAATTTCATTCAGATTGCAAGTTCGTGTCGCTGGTCTAACCACGAATAAAACCGCTCGATCGCGATATTACGTCGTTTGATGAAAGGTCAGCCTTTCGGATGTCAAGTTCACAGTCTTTGTTACGAAACTTCCGGACTAACAACCCGTAATTCCCCGGTTCGATCAATGGTTCGAGGCATCAGTCTTATACTTTGATCATTTGTCGATCAACTTCCCATGCGATGTAGCATTACGAATTCATTCTCTGCTAAGTAATTTTCATTCGCGTTTGAGTGATTCATATTCTATTGAAGTTATACTATATGAACGATTATTTTTTAATTGTTAATAAAGTGAATCCGGTAATCTAGCTACTTATAAATTTATTATCCTTTGAAATTTTTTTTAGAAATGGTATTGAGTACTTAAATATCTCTTCAGCATTCATTTATTTCACATTCAATTTATGCAAAGGATTTATTGAAGGAATTCTTATAAAAATTTAAGCTAGTCAGAATTACGGATTATCTCCTCTTAACGATTCTAATTTTTTATATGATACTCTTTTTATTCCCCAATTTATGACGATATTACAAATTATATTCAAAGTGTCAAAAAGTGTCTAAATATCGACCTTAGAATAATTATATCAAACAACATCCCCTCTAACTTTCTGCCCAACATACTTTTAGCATCAATAATTTTAATCCTCGACGACTAATTTATCCCTGAATGACGATTTTCCAGCGACGATGACTATCGAACCGCGAGTCGAGGGTGAATTACACAACCGATAGAGCTGACACTACGAGGGTTACCATCACAACTGCGTTGTTACCAAGTCCGGTTTGCTCGCGTTCTACCGCCGCGCATGTGCGACTTTCCTACCCTTACGATTCGCACTGTTGATGATAGTGGCCTCTGCTAAATCATCTACTTACGATATCAAAGCGAGGACTCAAAGCGACGAAAACTTGTGTGTACGTGATCTATTTTTCTGTCCCCGAATCCTCTTAATTCTTTACAGTCTTGATTTTCTTCTACTGTCTCGCCTAAACGGGTCGCAACCGCCAGAAGATATGAATTTTTTAAACGCCGATAATCGATTGCGACGTCCATTGAATAAACAATTCTGTTCGCTTATGATCAGTTCAATACAGTTTTCGATGCTCATGGCTATTTTTTCAGTTTCAAACTACTTATTCGATTCTATTAAGCCTATTAGCATGAATGCAGTGAGGAGGTCAATACAGTATAAAATGAATAAATGAAGTACGAAATTATTTAGGCGATTTTTCTTAGAAAGATATTAGTGTTCTGATTTAGCTAGAAATGCGGTTCGTTGAAAAATGTGTTAGAGTGGGCGAGAAATTCGAGGGAGTCGCGTGTTTGCCAGCTTGTTAAACGAATTACTTCGAATTTCACTTGCAGCTGCAATGTCGGAATTTAAAGTTCAAGGTTATCGTAGCCAGGATTTACAAGATTCCGCGCATAGATAACACGTAAATGAAAATTCCACGAATCCCATTTTTAAACTTCATTCTCAAGCGGCCTGTGTGAACTTTTTTGTTCGAATACAATTTTCCACAATCCTCCCATCTGGCTAGAATTCTCATGAAAACTACTAAAGTGGAAGAAGGAGAATAACGATACTCCGTGAAATATCATTCTTTAAATAAATGAAATGAAATTTAAAATGTAGAACAAGATGTAAGTCACGCGTCGAAGTTTATTAAAAATTTTCACGAATTTTCGTTCATCGCTTGAGTGAATATATTATATAATAATCAGAGAATCGTCTCATACAAGGAATTAAACGTTTTCTTATAAGCACCATTTCTTTCATTCACATTGACTGACCACTAAAATCGTTAACTTGTTACTTTGATAAAATACTTCCATCTGGTAACATAGAACGTTTTCAATTTTATAACAGATATTTTCCCCGGAATGAAACATTCCACGTATTATCGACATTTATTTCTTACGTTTCACCGGTCGAGCTTCATCAAAATTGCCAGTGCATTTTCGGTATTATGAGCTTCAAGACGTATCGTGCCATTACCTAGGAAATAACGAATGCTTCGGAACGGAAAGCGTTCTGATATCCGCCAATATGTTAGCGAAATTTCAGACATTTTTCGCGGGGCAAGGCAGCAGATTTACATTGATGCATATCTGCTGTTACCTTCAAAACACTATAAATGTATATAAATTACTCATTAAATAGTTTTATATAAATGATGTTAATTTTCTTGTAGATAATCTGAATAAATCATATAAAATGAAAAATTAAATAAATATGAATATCAGAATTTTTCAATATAGCTCGGCAAAATTATATGTCAACGTTTATATATTCAGCTAGACTTCGCGGATTTTTCAGAGGAACTCGTTTGGAAGCACGTTTCCGTGTAGGTTCGGCCACGTACACGTTTCATCGATCGTCGAGACGACGCGACGTGACGCGACGCGGCCGCGACGTATCTCGTTCATTAAAGCTTTCGATTGCTGGAATACTTTCGTGACCTAGTCCCGGTCAATTTCGGTGAAGCACGCTTTTATTCCTCGCGACATACAGTTTGCAAACGCGAACAGGGAATCCGAGGCATTCCCCTCATTTATGTCCGCTTCAATTTGTTCGAGTGCGGAGTTCAAGGTTCCACGAGAACGTCGTCGCTGCTCGTGCAAGATGATTGGTCGTCACAATCATCGTGCGCTCTTTTGCGAAACGCGTCTAATCTTGTTTTAACTCGATTCTCTCAAATTTTCCTGGTTGGTCCAAGCTATTGGTTCATAGAACGATCGAGCGTACTGCGAACGACTCTTGTCAAAAATTGTTTTTCTATATTGCAATTTCATTTAATTAATCGATTTAATTACATTCTTTTTCACGAAGCTCGTACCGCAAGCTTCAGTTTACACTAAAGCGAATAAAATTCGGGATAACGTTTCATCTTCCCCATCGGGATGTTTCCAAATCAAAACTAATTAATTCGCTCTTTAACATCCGATTGCACGCCCAACGGTTCGGCTCGCTTCGAACGTAACGATTAATGAACCCTCTTTAAAAACGCGACGTACGGAAAGCTGAACGAATACCTGACGCGGTTGCGCGAGCCTCGATTAAAAACTCCGCTAAATCGTTCCCGTAATTCATCGGAAGAGCATCAGAATTCGTGCGCGCATGTGCGCTCGTTAATGAATCCACGGGCGGGTCGATTCGGATGAAAGATGGGTACAATTTAATATGAGACTCACCGCAGAGTAAATAGACCGGAAATGACGCAGCTTCTACCCCTATTTTCGTTGCTCTTTTTTATAATTTCTTTGGTATCGATATTCAGTATTAAAATACAAAATAATGCAAATTCTGTTTAAAAAATGTCATAGTAAAGAAATGAACGAGTAATTAATTTCCTACTTGATATGTTATTATAGTTTATGCAATAAAACGCGTAATTTGAGAAACAACGGTTGAGAAATCTAGACAAGCATCGGTTGATGCACACCCGTGCCGCGGGTTAATTAATTCTTTTTGCTGGAATTTCCTGGGGTGCGCGAGGCTCGTCGCGTGTCGCCCAGGCGGCCTGGCAAGGCAGAAAGTGCATGGCTCGCCGGTAGCGTCATAATTAAACAATGTCACAAAGGAAACGCTTTGTCCGAGTGACGGCTGCGCGTCCCCGTAACATCGTTCGAACTACATTTCCCAGCAATAATTCCCGGCCGGTCGTTTACCCTCGGTTTTCAGTAGAATAAATCATTTATAACACGGATTATTCCTTTTGTACGTTTCCCTATGTTAAATTATAAATTCGTACCAAAATTGCATTTTCGTAATGGTCTTTCATTTCAATAATTTCTAAGTATTAAGTATTTTATTATTATGAAGAAAAATCAGAATGTATCCTTCGTCCCGTTGATAAGGGAGCAAAGGAATTAAACTGTCGACGTAACTGGTGTACAATTGCGGGTATCCCCGGAACAGTGATGACGTAGTGTGTTCTCCTAGGCGGGCTTTTTTGCGCTCTCGCACCTTCCAGCCTAGGAAGGTCGAGCGTGGGCATCGACAAGTAAACGTATCGTAGTTATGGTCAAGCAATTTTTGCGCGTTAACGTCGCCCGTTCACGCGAGAATGAACGTATGCATATTACATCTGACTTCCTAGAATCTGGTACCACCTGCTCGTGCTAAGTGGAAACAACGATCCTATTGGTTATTCAGCTATAAATGTGTTTTATGACGAATTCGCTGCACGCGTATCGTCTTGTAAAGCACCGGAAAATATGAATATTCAAGCATTTTAAATACGTATTATGTAACTGGGAATTTCGCCTTCTTTATATTTTTTCATTAGCGATGTTATAAGTTTAAAAATTTCTGCCAGCCTCACGAGATTATAATGAAGTACCCTAAAAAATATTTTACTTATATCGTCATTTACCTTAATATGGAATCTCGAGAAATTTTATTGAAAAAAGTAAAACTTCATAAAACATTCCGGAGTGCAATCAGTTTTACATGAGAAGGAATTCATTCATGCTTCAGCCTACATGTTTTTCATGGTCTGAAAACCTGATTAAAACGTCAGTATTATCTTTTACTTAATCATCACACTCATCTAATCGAAAACATTATTCTGGTAATAGTTGTACATTTTGCAGTTATTCAGATTTACCAAAATTTCTCCGTAGCTCGTGAACCTCACAGTGCGTGACAACTTGGCAAGGAGTAAAAAAATGGCCAACGGTAGTCAGAGCGCGTTAAGTGTGTTACCCCTCTTTAAACGCGGACAAATCTGAAATGTCCGTTTGAAGTTCGGAGCGAGAGAGAGCGGACGAGTTGGTAACGGTGATTCTGTGTGTATAAATAATTGATGAGACGGCTAGTGGCGATTTGTAATTGTAATTCCGGGCGAGATACTTGCCCAGTTAAGGAACGTAATTACCGCGCGCGGACTCGTTATCGTCGGTAACTCGTCGCGACGCTCCGGGGATACGAGTCTGTCCCGTCTCGTTCTCTTTATATCAAAGGAGAGTGCGTGGTCCCGAGACGCAGCCATTCATCTCACCTGGCTACGAGAAAATGACCATTGCCAATGACATGACGTTCGATTAGAATCGATCCTCTTTAGACATGAACAGGTTGAATAAGCATTCGGCTAATTGGAGAATTTCCACGTTGCAAATGTAGCTGCACTGTGTGAGCGTGAATTTTAAAATAAAAATTTGCAAAAGCAAATGGTATGTGGGATAAATTAATACTGTATTAATAATGCTTTATGAAAGTATTTGAATTATTCACTAATTCCGCGCTAAGCAGAGATAAATGGATTTCAACAGTAAATTGCTAGTAAGTTATCAGATGGTGCGAGATTACAAAATTTACACGATTAATTACATGTCCAGCATTAATTAAAGTCTAATTTAACGATGCATGACTTGTTCTTTTATTATTTGCCAAAGTAATTACGTAGTATATTAAATTCCCTTCAAATTTAATCTTCCTAATACCGTATGCATTGTGACGCATCCGCAGTGATAACGCAGCACTTTTAATTAGTGTGTTAAAATCTATGATGCAGCGAAACCTGCACGCTTCGACGGCGGTTGTAATTATGCAAACTACCAACAGGTATCAGACGTGCGACGGACAGATTGGAGGCACTATTCTTACGAGCTTACGTCAGGCGGTTTGATTTCGCGTCGGGAAAACCTTAGAAGAGGTCGACGACAAGGATTAAAGGATAAAAAGAATGTGTCACGGGATTTAGGCCAACGTGGGTAGCTGAAAAAGTGGTAAGGAACGACCCACGCCGAACTGT